GCGAGCAATCAATTTGACGTTATTATTTCCCCTTAATGGTCAATAATGTTGCGTTTCACTGCCACTGTGCAGCACAGCGGCATTATGCAGATCACTTTGACCATAATAACGCGATATACGGGCACTGTGTCAAGAATGCTATGTAGTGTTAACTACTATAAATAAATATTAACTATACTAGTATTAATTATAATTTTTATAAATTGCTGATAAATTTTACTATGAATTTTTTCGGCATAATAATATTCGCGCAGTATTAAAATTATTTGCAAACAAAACTCATACTATAAAAACGCAAGTAAAATAAAAAGTATATTAATTAACTTTCTGCGTGTCTCTCGTATTCGTGCAGTAAAACTCGAGGCATCAAAGAAATTTAACGAATTTCGGCGAAGAACATTAAAGCTTTTCACGATTTCGCAGACTGACCAGTTGTTTCTGCGGCAGATTTGACAGATTGATATTCCGTTGCAATACACTTAACTTTTATAGCGTCACCACTTCTCAGCTCTCTCGCATCTAATTGTTTACGGTAAGTGGGTTAAGCGGTCTTGCCCCTTAATTTCGAGGCCAGTTTCATAATTTTTTTAATTGAATCGGATCCTTTAATTGCACGACGAGCGGCGGCAGAGAAAGCTGTCGCCAGTTTAAAAGGCCATCTTACCAACAAGGCAGTAAAACTAGTCATAAAAGATTCTCAAAATATTTTCGCACATGTTACGGACATGTTACGGTCAAAATCTCCTGCGGTCTGGACACCATTTATCTCAATTCGTCAGAGTATGCAAAATTCAACACTTTATAAGGTTTCGCAGGCTTGATTTATTTCAAAATATAAATCTACGTACAAAATAAAATACTTATATATTTTTTTGTAAATAAAATTCTGAAAAAATGAATACTTTAAATCTAAAAAACAAATATGGGGAAAGCCCGTCATTAACTGCACTAATTTTTACATTTTACATTAATATCTTTGTACGTACATATTGTGTGAGTGTAATTAAGCCTCAAATTAAAATTCCATTAAAATTCGCTGGAAATTAATTGAAAATACTGTTATATGTTTGCCTCACTTGCGCGCTTTATGACACTTCAACATGATAGATGATATTTGATTATTATTTTGAAGACGTTTTTGCATCATTTTATTAGAGCGTTCTATAAACCTGAAATCTCTCTGGAATCTGACATTTTACACATAACGACCCGATAACTTCCTTTTTCTCTCCTCATCGAATGCAATCTTGTTACGCAACGCGCTCCAATTTATTCGCCGTCTATTCGCTCCGCGGCCAGAGCAAATACTCTATTAATACCTGTTTCGTGTCTTCCCTACTGAACCTGTTTGTTTCTCGCGAACACACCGTTACATCATAATTCTCGGACAGCATCACCGGTTTCTCGGCTACTTTTGCGGCTGGCGAGTGAACGAGCGAACGAGTGAGCTCGCTGGCTTGTTCGCTAAGGACTTTATTGCTTCATTTGTCCAATATCATTTCACGATCGTAGTATCCCCAACTTCCTCGCATTTTCATTCTTCGCCATCCCGCTGCGCTCCGCGCCCCCATCTTCACGGTTTTGCAATCAGTTCACCGATACTCGCTCGCGTTTTGCTCTGACGACATAAACGCCGCATTTACGATCTCCCGTTACAAATTTCGCAACAAGGATAATGCACCTTTTTCGCGTTTTTCGTCGTACATTTTTCAAACCAACATCCATACGAAGAAAATGTTAAAAAATGTTTTCGGCTTCGCATTACATATGCATTTTATAAAATAAAAATTTTTGATAACGCTACAAGTTAATAAATCCGAATTCTGAGAGTATCAATAATATACTGAAAAACTTTGTCACGTGCTTTTCTAAAGTCTTTCCAAAATTTTAAGAGAAGAAGTTGTAAGGGGTCGCAAAATGCGGCGATTACAGAATCACGCGAAATGAATCACACGGAAAGCGGCGAGAGGAAGACACGTGACGTCGGTTGGGAAATTATATTGGCCAAATGAAGCGATAAAATCCGGCCGCAGACGTGTTATTATGGCGTATAAAGGTGCTCGTAAAATTTTACCAATTCTTACTACAGCGCGAGGAACCGCGGCACGATGAAGATGAAAAGATGACCGGGAAGAGGAGGACAGAGAGACGCGGGAAGGAGCGAAGTACGTCCGTGTTTTTTCTCGCTCCGTTCACGCGGAGATTGACTTGCGTCTGCTTTTTCCTTTTCTTCCGCACCCGAATTTCGATCGATTGAACCCGAGTGCCCGATGATCTCGGGTTCCCAGCACGAGAAGATCCTTGGCCTCTTTTACCAGGAAGCAACAGGATTCTTTGTTACACGCAAACAGCCTCGCGACTGTGACTTACTTCATCCAAAATTTGTTTCAAAAATAATTTTTCCCTAAGACTTACGGTCGATAAAAGTTTGAATAATACTTGAAAGCAATTTTGGACATCTAAATAAAGTTCATATATCTTTCATATTTGTACAAGTTTAAATACTTCTGAATTTGACTCACAATCGATATTATTCTATAGACTTTTCAAATAAATGTTGTATATGAGCCGAATAATTTCACATTTGAATATCTGAAATATCAATGTTCAGGTTAGCGTTTGAATAGATGTTTAGATTTAGATGCCGAATAAATTTCGAACAAGATAAAAGTCACGTTCGCGCAGCAACGCGAAAGCACAAAGAATTGCCCAACTATCTGATAAGAAAAGGAAGCAAATAAAAAGAAATTGGAGAGAAATAATCGATCGGCGATCGAGGAAGGAAAGCGGCTGTTGTCTGGGTGTTGCCAACGATCGTGAATTCGCAGAATCGGCGAAATCGTCGTAATCGACTGGGCCTCATTAGCCCACTTGATCGATCTTCCGCGCGTGGATCGCGAGGGCTCGATCGAGCATACGGACCGCGTTCTCTCTCCCTTCCCGGCCCCCTTTCCGTCTTTTTCTTCGGAATCGTTGCGAGATCGTCGAACTTCACGATCCGATTTCCTCCGGGCGACGAGTTGCTCAAACGCGATGCCCGCGCCGATCGTTTCCTACCGTATATACCGATCTCGCGAGAAATCGAAACTAGATCGCGTTGCACAAGACGCAGTCGGGGAAAAAAAATTCGCTGCAGGGAACAATCGCATTGTGGCCCCCTCGTCGTTATTGGAACCTACATTTCTCGGGCTCCAGATTTTGCAGTTCTCAGTTCAAGACAACATTCTTCAATTCTCCAAGGTTTCTTCGCGGTCTTTATACGTGTGCAATTTTAATTGTTGAAAGAAATCACACTTTTAATTCTTAATTTTTATCAATTATTAAAACTTCAAAAATTTGTTAAATTATAGAATTATGATTCTCTTTATCTTTCAGTTTGCGTCATTAGGACTTGATATATTTGTAAATTTAATCACTGCAATCTTAACTATGTTCTAATGTACGAGATTTTCTCGAAATATACATTGTCTGATCTTCGCAAACATCGCCGTTTCTTTCAGATATACACGTTGCTGTTCTTGCATTACTTGCCATTACCCTATAAACGCGCACAATAAACGTCGTAGGGGGCGACCTAGATTTTCCAGGGTTTTCTTGCGCGACGGTGCTGCGCGGTATCGTTTGGAGAGCATAGCTCGAAGAGCAGGGCTCTCTCGCATGCTCTAAGGCGTGGGAACGCACCGTGGCGGTGTATAAATTCGCTTTAGCAAGACACTGCTCGCGAGATAGATGCGGGAGGAGAAATAGAGAGAGAGAGAGAGAGAGAGAGAGAGAGAGAGGAGGAAGGGAGAGAGAGAGAGAGAGAGGA